ACGCGGGACCAGCGCGGAGACAGGCGGGGGAGGGGGTAAAGCGGCTTCCGCCCCGCCCGCCGCAGCGCCCCCGGAGGGCGGAGGAAGCAGCGCAGCCCGGTGAATGCTGGGGTAGTCCCCAAGCCGCCGGACGGGCCTGGCTCTACGGCCTCCGCCTGCGAGCCCCTGCGCTGGCTGCGGCGCCCTGCCTGCAGTGGCACTGCCCGCGGCTGGCGGCTCCCCTGCGGCTGGGGTCGTTTTCCACAATTCGTCACCTCAGGGTGAGCCTGCGGTGCCTTTCTCCAACTGCTGGAACCGAGATTGGAAATCATCCAAGCCCGAGTCCAACAAGCAGGGTGCGGGAGCAGTTTACAAAAAGCAAAAAACATCACGCAGGAAGAGCAGGGCCCTGTCTGAGCACCCAGATGAAAAATGACTTCGTTTTGATGACACTGAGGTCACCAACCATCTTGCACCGTGGTCTTCTAGCCAGCACTGGGGAAATTGTCTTGAGCAGGAAGTCAAACTTTTCCAGAGTGCCACTAATAAGGAATTCATGGTCCCATGTCTGAAAAGAAATGCACCACTTCTAACCATGCATTTCCTCTTCAAAGTACTTGAAATACAGAAGGCTCAGGACAGTCCCTGTCATGAGGCCTCTCCCCCCTACTTACCTGAAGAGCAAGCACAGGGCAGGAAGCGACACACCAGAGATGTTCCTCAAATGCACCAGCAGCCCACACCAGTTGCTTCAGAGGAAAATACAAAAAGCTACCAGAAGAGGTACACTGACCTAGTTTTCGAGAAATGTCTTCCCTCTACAGCCACTGAGCAGCTTACACCCAACACTTAAGATTGATGGCCTTGCCAGGGTTCACTTGATCAGTATCTGTCCTTTAGCCTTTATTTAATCCTTCTCTCCTTTGCAATTTATTCCAGATCTTTTGCAACAGAGCCCCATGATGATTCCACAATCCCTGAGTAATAACAGTCACATTTCTCTCTTCCTTTCCTCCTATTTGGATATTTGACTACATGCTATCCCTTTCTCATTTTCAACTCACTGTTTGGGATGTGGCAATCAGTATCCAGGTGATGAGGACACAGTGACACTGAACTCTTGCAGTAGTGCATCAGGATTATCCCTCTCATCCAGAGAAAGGACAGACTGAGAGCATATGATTGGTACAGTTTTGTGACTATTATTTTACCATGTTTATTTTCTTGGTACATAGCAAAAATGGAATTTCCATGAATACAGGCAATGAAATCATTCAAATCATGTATGTGTATGCACACTTTAAACTGTCCCCTTTTCACAGTATTCCATGGACAGTTAGTACAGCTTCTTTAACTTTGCAATGCTTCATTCCCCTCAGTTGCTCACTCAGCCCTTCCAGTCTCCCATTAACCTGCCAACTTTCATCCATTCACTCAAATTAAGTCACTCTACCATTGTCTTGCTCTTGTTCACACAAATCCTCTCATCCTCTCTCACCACCCTTCTCCCACCCCACTCACTCCTGATGGTCTCCCCTTTCCTTGTGACTTCCTATTCAAGAAATCCTCTTACATTCTCCTTGCTCCATCTAACTGGAGGTCTCCTCCTTCCATGCTTTCAAGTTACTTCAGCTCCCAAGCTCAAGATTTCCTTCTGAATCTGTCATAAGAACTGCCCAAAGCCAAATTAGTCCCCCAGTTAGCTCACCCAAATCAGATATTGCATCTCTTCCCTAATGATTGACATAGTCTTACAGAATGTAATATCACACTCTCATTGTCAAAACTTTAATGCAAGTGTGTGTTACTGGACATTTTGACGTTCTTTTCTTTCTCTGCTCCATATCCCCTTGGTTATAGTCAGCTTGCCTCTAGGAATCCCAAACTGATGAATAATGCAACCATAAGAGAAGGGGGGTACCTAAAAAGTGTGTGCGTGTGTGTGTATGTGTGTGTATATATATATATATAAAAAAAATCAATGTTTTATTCACAGCTGGTACAAAAAGCATAACAGGCCAAATTCTCTGTTGGCACACATTACCCCAACTCCACTGACTTCCCTGGGAGAGAATTTGACTCATAATGTCTCCACACATACAACAATGAACAATTTGCAAAGGAAAAAGTGAGATTGTAAACACTCTGGGACAGGCATTGCCTCTCTTTTAAATCGACTCTGTGATTAGGGGATGTTCACCACCTTCCTATTAAATTATATCCCTGAGGGGATAGAGATCTGGGTTGCTGTCAAGCACTGTAGTTTTAGTGACACAGGTGTATGAAACAATCTGCTAGGGGTAGCAAGACCTCCTGTTACTCCCTGAAAGCTCTGTCAAATGTTCATTTTGGCTACAATCTCAGATATTTTCTTGTTAGTGGGGAAGCTGGCTTACAAATAAAAATCAGATATCCTCAGAAATGTCTTAGCTGGGAAAATGTATTAAAAAGGCTCATGGGACAAACATCTATTCAACTGCAGTAGTGTTTACTGCCATTATTTCTATAGCTTCCATTAGAGCTATGTCAGACAAAAAGCAACTGTGAGTTCAGACACCAAAGCCTTGTCTACATTACAGCTGTCACTGGTGCAAACACTGCTGTAACTTATCTGGTGGGAAGATTCCTAGTACAGTTCCTGAAGATTTCAAGTTCTGCTCCTGCCATTTCTTTCCTCACTTTGAACTGTAAACATTGGGTACAACTGGGGTAGAACCACCTCAGTAATACACAAGTGCCCTGTTTTCAAGCAAAAAAAGAAGTAGATGAAAAGAAACACACACCAACTACATCAACAATAAAGCTCCTTAAACACAGCCAGATCCTCAAGTGGTGTAAGCCAAGGGCCACACATTTACCTCAGTGAAGTATCTGGCCCAAAAGACCCAGTTCCACAAGGCAACAGCCACATGATACAAGAATACTCAGGTACAAGAATACCAGTGCTGCTTACAGTGCACTCCTTCATACTCTGTAGAAAGGTTTCGAACACAAACATTTGTAACATTTGAGTGCCAAGCATGTCCCTTTCCTTTAGAAGCCTATGTCCACTACAGTTCCACTGAGAAATAAGCAGGGTGAGGCAGATACTTGAAGCTTGCTGTAACAACTGTTTTCTACAGTGAAAACAGTGTTTTAGACCACCGTCTGTTGGAGCCAACAGGATTCTTGCTCTCAAAGGCCCAGTTCTTTTGTATTCCTCCTTGAAGCTTCCCAGAGGTTCCCCTCCAAAGGATTCTGGGATCTGGCAGCAGGTGGTTATGGAGGGAAAAAACAGAAGTCATTGACCAGCAAGGGTTTATAGAGCTATTAGCGAATTCTGCCGGTCCTATGATGACAGAGGTTCTCCCGCTGATCCGTAAGACCCCAGGCAACAGGTCTGTGGTTCTAATGAGTTCCAGAGAAGCACTGCAGCCACACATGCTGCACTTGCCCAGACCACAAAGGCTTTCCCTTGAAATCCTTGCGATCCCAGAGTCACACTGGAGAAGGGAGCACCTGAGGTGGGACAGTGATGGAATACAATACCGCTTTACTGGGACTACAGAACTCTCTCCTCATCCTAACAGTGCATTGGCTCACACTGTCCAGTTCTGCAGCCTTTTCTATTTTAGCAGCAAAGGTGTCCACAATAAAAAGACAAGATCTTGGCCTTGAAATCTACTTTTCATCTTTTCGCCTCCATCAGAGTTCCTCTCCAGATGCACCTGGTCTCTCTTCCAATGCTTCATAGCCTCCAATGTCCAGTTCTACCTGTATTCCAGTTGGCTGCAAGAGAAGCCAAGAGGAGTTTAAACTTGCATAGCTGAGAATCTGCCACTAAGAACATCTGTAGAATCAAAGCCACTTAAAAATGCCCATCTCTAACAGACATGCAGACACTGCAAGCCATCTACCAGTTCCCACTGATGTCAATGTTAAAGGAACTTAGCATATTGGGCCAGTAGGGGGTGCTTCTGCACCGAGCCACCCACTTCACTACGCCTGACCATCTTCCAGGCTCCGAGTGCCTCCCTGGGGGTACCTCATGTCTGGCCGACCCCCTTCCTGGAGGCACACCCACTACCCTGGGGGTAACGCCGCCACCACCCAAGGTCTGGACTGATCCTGGCCCTATGCCCCCTGGGAAACAGGCCTAGCAGTCCTTGAGGGTACTCAACCCACTGCAAAAACTTGGGGTGCTTCCCTCAGTCTGAAGCACCAGTAGTGGTCTCCTTTAGTCAGCCAAACCAAGGGGACCCCAAGGCATAATCTAGATCCACTCCCAATAAGGCTCCCACACTAGGTACAAAGGAGAACTTTACTGGTGACAAGGAGTAGGTTTGGAATAGGGTACACAGTAGAGCAATATCAAAGAAATCCCACAGAGCAAACAGGGTGACTGGGTAGCCTTTGATCACGCATCTGAGTTACTGCAAGCTATTTATCTAGTTAGATCTCAGGTAGCTTACTCATGAGTATCACCCAGAGGCAGGTGGAGATTCCCTCTGGAGGCAGGCAGTTCACTGATCATAAGTCTCAAGAGAAAGCCAGTTTCAGATGGTTCAGCTTAAGATTTCATCGTGGCTACTGCTCCTCCTCCTGGGCAGTCCTTATGACCTCATTTACCTAGTCCAATGTAGGCCAGCAACTGCTGGCTGCCAGCCAATCAATTTGAAATGCATCACTGGTTGCCAGGTAGACTGGCAGGGTCTCTAGCCCCCTCCCCAGGTATGTGATGCCAGTTATATAGACGGAGGGAGCAGGTTTTCCCCCCTCCCTCAAGAATGTATCCAGCTCAGTTTACAACTCAGGGTTACCTAAAGAGCCCATGGGATGTCTGCCCTTTGCACTGACCATGTTAACCAAATTGTCTCATAGCAGTTTTTGGGGACAGACAGAAGTGGCATTCTGCCACAGGCTGATTCAGGCAGACAGAATATGCTCAGCTGTTTGCATCTCCTTAGTCCTGGTTACCAAGCAGTTATCTGGCTAAACAGTGGCCTTGAAATTGACAGATCTCACTTAGTTTCAAGGCTACTATTCTGCAAGTCAAAAACTGACAAGCAGCCTCAACTTCAATGCTTTTTGCTTTTTTCCAATTGTGTGAGGTGCTGCAGTCATAGAGCAGTCACTGACAGCGGTTCACAACACGGGCTACAAGTTGTTATTATGTGCCCAGCGTAATGGGGCACTAAGCTTGATTGTGGCTTCTGGAGATACTGCAGTACAAATAATACTTAATATGCCCGAAGTCAAGTAAAGCATTAATGTCCCACACATTTTATAGTTCTTTCAGGTCAGAGGATCCCAAACTGGATTAGAAATGAATGTACACAGGAATAATTTCACCAGCTACAAACACACAGCCACATCCTAAGGGAGTTCAAACCAGGAAGTGAAACATTAAAGAATGAGAGAACCTGGAGATAAGCCTGTTGAACATCTCTGGGTTAAAGTTAGAGGGGAGAGCAACAAGTGCGATGTTGTAGTAGGTGTCTGCTATAGACCACCAGACCAGGAAGAAATGGTTTAGATTCACAGATGTTAGGGTCGGAAGGAACCTCAGTAGGTCATCAAGTCCAACCCCCTGCCCTGGGCAGGAAAGAGCACTGGGGTCAAACGACCCCACCTAGATGCTTGTCCAGTCTCCTGTTGAAGACCCCCAAGGTAGGGGACAGCACCACCTCCCTTAGAAGCAAATGAGGGAGGTGAATGAGGCTTTCTTCAAATGGCTAGCGGAAGTTTCCCAATCACACGCCACGGTTCTTATGGGGGATTTCAATCACCCTGACATCTGCTGAGAAGACAATACAGCAGTGCACAGGCAATCCAGGAAGTTTTCGGATAGTGAGGGTGACAACTTTCTGGTGCAAGTCCTGGAGCAGCCAATTAGGGGCTGTGCTCTTCTTGACCTGCTGCTCACAAACAGGGAAGAATTCATGGGGAATATAGTAGTAGATACCTTTGGCAGCAGTGACCACAAAATGATTGAGTTCAGGCATGAACAACCCATGCCCCCGGGGGGCACGGCTGTGCTGGCAGCAGCAGCGGGAGCCCGGTAGTGGTAAGCTGGGAGCTTCTGCAGATGCTGCTGGCACGGTCAGCACAGTGGAAGGAAGCGTGGAGAGCAGCAGAGTAAGGACCCCAGACTTCAGAAAAGCAGACTTTGACTCACTCGGGGAACTCATAGGTAGGTAGGACCCCCTAGGAAGCCAATCCGAAGGGAAAAGGAGTCCAGGAGAGCTGGCTGTACTTTAAAGAAGCCTTACTGAGAGCGCAGGAACAAACAATCCTAGTGTGCAGAAAGACTAGCAAGTACGGCAGAAGCGCAGCTTGGCTTAGCAGGGAACTCTTCAGGAAACTAAGTCACAAAAAGGAAGCTTATAAGAAGTGGAAACTTGGATGAATGAATAGGGAGGAGTATAAGAGCATTTACAGGGACAAAGCCAGGAAGGCCAAAGTGCAATTGGAGTTGCAGCTAGCAAGGGATAGGAAGGGTAACAAGAAGGGTTTCTACAAGTATGCTGGTAGCAAAAGAAGGATCAGGGAAAGTATGGGTCCCTTACTGAATGGAGGAGGCAGACTTGTAACAGAGGGTGCAGAAAAGGCTGAAGTGCTCAATGCTTTCTTCACATCAATATTCACAAGCGAGGTCAACTCCCAAACTACTGCACCAGGCAGCACAGTTTGGGGAGGAGGTGAGCAGCCAACAGTGAAAGAACAGGTTAGGGACTATTTAGAAAAGCTGGACGTGTACAAGTCTATAGAGCTAGATAGGACATACCTGAAAGTGCTGAGGGAGTTGGCTGATGTGACTGCAGAGCTACTGGCCATCATCCTTGAAAACACATGGCGATCAGGATAGCTCCCAGATGACTGGAAAAGGGCAAATATAGTACCCATGCTTAAGAAAGGGAAAAAGGAGGATCTAGGGAACTGCGGACCAGTCAGCCTCACCTCAGTCCCTGGAAAAATCATGGAGCAGATCCTCAAGGAATCCATTTCTAAGCACTTGGAAGAGAAAAAGGTGATTAGGAACAGCCAGCGTGGATTCAACAGGGGCAAGTCATGCCTGACCAACCAGACTGCCTTCTGTGATGAGGTGACTGGCTCTGTGGATGCAACAAGACCAGTGGATGTGGTGTACTTTGATATTAAGGTTTTTGATACCGTTTCCCACAACAGTCTCACAGACAAGCTAAGGAAGTATGGCCTGGATAAAAGGATTGTAAGATGGATAGAAAACTGGACGGATCATCAGGCTCAGAGAGTAGTAATCAATGGCTCAATGTCTAGTTGGCAGCCAGTATCAGGTGGAGAGCCCCAGGGTCAGTCCTGGGGCTGGTTTTGTTCAATGTCTTCATCAATGACCTGGAAGATGGCAGAGTGCACCCTCAGCAAGTCTGCAGATGGCACCAAGCTGTGGCAAGTAGTAGATATGCTGGGGGGTAGGGCTAGGATTTAGAGTGACCTACACAAATTGGAGGATTGGGCCAAAAGGAATCTTGTAAGGTTCAATAAGGACAAGTGCAAAGTCCTGCACTAAGGACGGAACAATCCCACGCACCACTATAGGCTGGGGGCTGACTGGCTCGGCAGCAGCTCTGCAGAAAAGGACCTGGGGGTTACAGTGGGCAATAAGCTGAATATGACCCAGCAGTGTGCCCTTGTTGCCAAGAAGGCTGACAGCATACTGGGTTGCAATGGTAGAAGTGTTGCCAGTAGGATTATTCCCCTCTATTCAGCACTGGTGAGGCCACATCTGGAATACTCTATTCAGTTTTGGACCCCACCACCACAGAAAGGATAAAGAGATATTGGAGGCCAACACAAATGGTGAGGGTGCTGAGGGATATGACTTATGAGAAAAGGCTGAGGGAACTTGGCTTATATAGTTTAGACAAGAGGAAACTGAGAGGGCATTTAATAGCAGCCTTCAACTACCTGAAGAGGGATTTGAAAGAGGATGGAACTGGACTGTTCTCAGTGGCAGCAGGTGACAGAACAGAGCAACAGTCTCAAGTTGCAGCAAGGTAAGTTTAGATTACATATTAGGAAGAATTTTCTTACTAGGAGAGTAGTAAAACACTGGAACAGGTTACCCAGAGAGGTGGTGGAAGCTTCATCCTTGGACCTGGCTAGACAAAGCTTTGGCTGGGATGATCTAGTAGGGGATGGTCCTGCTTTGGGCAGGGGGTTGGACTAGATGACCTCCTGAGGTCCCTTCCAATGCTAATTTTCTATGATTCTATGAACCACTAGTTACGCTGGTTTAGACTGCCTGAAGATCTGGCCCAGAACATCCAGTATGAAATGGTAGCAAGAATCTGAGCCAAGGTGGATGTATTTACCCACACTGCCAAGTAGCCAGGACATCAGTTCCTCTCCTTACAAAACGAGATACAAGATCATCAGGGACTAACTCAGGAGGAATGGAGCAACTGAGTCACTGTGATCCAAATAAGAAATGGATCCACTGACTTCACACACCCAGAAACAGAAGTCAGACTATTTACAATCCACATCATTTTTTTCTTTTCAACAGATTACAGCTTGCTTGCATTGTCACTAGCTCCCCAGCCCAGCGCAGAGATGCGTGGCGGAAGCCCAAGTTCCTGCAACCCCCAGAGCAAGGACTCTGCCTCTACTACCAACTCTGCTCCAAACCTTCTTCTCCATGACCTCCTCACTGGTTCACCTGGATATTCTCACCTGCCGGGGCGATTTTCTTAAGGATGCAATACATTGTGTACTGGCTTTCCCCAAAGGCCCTTGGCTGCTCTCTAACAGCACGCGCGTGCTGGGCACAAAACTCCAGGAGCGGCCCAGGGCTGGCTTGAGGTGGCCACTGCTACTATCCCTTGTCACATGGTTAGTCACCTGCAGTACAATAAAGTAGACATATTAGGCAGCTACCAGGAGTAACATCACTGTTCCTTGTAAGGAAACACTGGGATACTCAGGAAGCTAATGGATAAATCAGCTGTTTCTATGGATTCTTATTCCACTCCTCCTCACCCTCTACAGGGAGAAGGTAGAGGAGGCTTCATGGGAGCCAAGTTTTAGTTCAGAGGACAGTCTCATAGGGGTGATGCTTTTAGAGATGCTAGGCTCCCATTTTGCAGACCTGTTCAGCTTTAACCACATTCACTTATCTGGAAAGCAAATACCCCTAATCCTCTGATACTTGCTATCTCCCTCACCACTCACCCCAGGAAGAGAAAGACAAAGCCCAGGGGCACTCACCACAGTAGCCAGGCCAAATTCTCTGGCAAGTGTCTTCAGTTCCCTCGCCAGCTGCATCATGAGGGCCAAGCCTACAGAGACAAGAAAAGGATATTTTGGCACATGCTTCCACTAGAAGTCTCTTAGAGACCAATGCCATCTCCTGAGATGAGGAATCTAGTGCAGCTCATCAGGATACCTTCACATCCACTCAAGAAGGTTGACCTCTGCATATTACATTAGCTTAATGCTGTTCATCAGTGTCCATTTCAAAGCTAGGCCCTCTTACTTTCCAACTATCCAAAGAACAAACCCAGCATACACAGCAGCAGCCTCTGCACCCAGGCACACCATCAACATGCACTGCATCAGGCCCAGATAATCAGTTCTGGGATACACCTAGCTCTTACTGAACACCTCAGTCCCAAAGCACTTTAGAAAAGCAGGTTAGTGTCACTGTCTCCATTTTACTGAAGGGGTTACTGAGGCACAGAGTGGTGTTGGTACTTCCTAAAGTTCACCCAGCAAGCCAGAACCAGCAGAAGAGCCCCATCCAGTACTCTATTCATTAGGTGACACTGCTGCTCCCAAGAAGTGTACCTCCATGACCTGCGACTTGTCCTCTAAAGATTGGTCCCTTCTTTCACAAAGGCTACCAGGTGATCTTTGCCACTGCTGAGTTCCTGCTACACGCACGCACGCACCAGGAAATGACTAAGTGAAGCCACACTGAGGCCTCCCCCACCAATACTCTGAGGGCAGCAGACTGCTCAGAGGACTGGCAACGAGCAGTTTTAACTCCTCATCCTTGAGTCTATGCATCAGCCACAGTCAGTCTGGCCTTTGCAGCAATTGCAGTTCCACTGCCAAACCACTGCACTTCCCTGACACCAACTTCTTAGAATTTCTGACAAAGATCTGCAAGGGCCTGCAGCAGCCCCACAGAATCCTGAGGAGTAAGAAGTTAGACCTACAGGACTATTTGGGAGAGATGCAATTAAGAAGATATATGAAGGGATGTCAGTCTGGCACTTCTGAGAGAGTTGTTGAAAAGCATGGCCTGCCTATCCTCTACTACCTCAAATGTGTCAAACCAGGAAGTGAGGGTATCTACTCTAAGGGAACTATTGCTCTCAGGCATATTGGGGACAGACAGCTCAACAACCTTGGTGGTGGGGTGTGGGTCTCAGGCCTGCTTTGCAGCCTCATTTCCAGGCTTAGCACATGCAGAGCAATACTAGATGGGGACGGCCTACTTCTCAGCTGCAGCCTGACAAGTACCAAGGAAGCCATACATCCTGAGCTATCAAATACATGCATTTTACCAGTTGTACCCTAAACAGACAGGCTGTTATATCATCCAACACAACACTGGCATAAAAGTTGAAAAAAAAAAAATCCTCCCTCTCCCCTCCCCCAGGCCCAGGTATCAGAGTGTACAAGGTACAGTTCTGTACTGCCAATGCCATCTGAATTTCTGCAGGTAATCAGTGGGCCCAGGAGTGCTGGAAGCAGATTTCCCAGCTACCTGATTGCAAAGGACATTCAGTGCCAAACATTCTGAATGTTTTGCAAGAGGTAGGATTGCTATCTGCAAAGGCCAGAAGTTGGGATGAATGAATCCTCATTATTTGAGCCTATTGGGCACTTTTACACATGCTCTAGGGTTGGAAAGGGTGGCACATTAACTAGAGCAGCTCTGAGAGCTTTAGTTCAAACACCCCTACCACCATTTTTAAGCACAGGGACACTGATACACAAGGTGCAGTAAGCTGCTGGAGCACAGTAATTACCAAGCTCCAACAGACTCGATTAATCAAGCCTGCTCCAACGTGCTGGACACTACATAAGTCACTCTATTCCAGGCCAAATTACTCCTCTAACAGGAAAGAGTAGCTATACACTACTATAAATTATCAGCACATTGCTACCCCAGTAAGCTTCAGACCAGAAAAAGCCCCTCTCTCATAAAAGCAGCTCATACACCACCTAGTGGCCAGACAATGTAATACCACCTACTGCAGGCAGCTTACTTGGAAGGCTGCTCCTTACTACAGAATAAAATCCAGGATAGTAACAAGGATTTCTACAAGTATGTCAGTGGGAAGAGGAGGATTAGGGAAAGTGGGGGTCCCTTGCTGAATGGGGGAGGCAACCTTGTGACAGAGGATGCAGAAAAGACTGAAGTACTCAATGCCTTTTTTTGCCTCAGTCTTCACAGACAAGGTCAGCTCCCAAACTACTGCACTAGGCAGCACAGTTTACTGAGGGCTGCTCACCTCCTCCCCAGTGAAAGAACAGGGTAGAGACTACTTAGAAAAGCTGGACATGTACAAGTCCATGGAGCCAGGTGGAATACACCTGAGGGTGCTGAGGGAGTTGGCTGATGCGACTGCAGAGCTATTGGCCATCATCCTTGAAAACTCATGTCAATCAGGAGAGGTCTCAGTTGATTGCAAAAGGGCAAACATAGTACCCATATTTAAGAAAGGGGAAAAGGAGGATCCAGGAAACTACAAACCAATCAGCCTCACCTCAGTCCCTGGAAAAATTATAGAGCAGATCCTCAAGGAATCCATTTCTAAGCACTTGGAGGACAAAAAGGTGATTAGGAACAGCCAGCACGGATTCAACAGGGGCAAGTCATGCCTGACCAACCGGACTGTCTTCTGTGATGAGGTGACTGGCTCTGTGGATGCAACAAGACCAGTGGATGTGGTGTACCTTGATTTTAGCAAAGCTTCTGATATGGTCTCCCACAATATTCTTGCAGACAAACTAAGGAAGTATGGGCTGCATGAATGGACTGTAAGGTGGATAGAAAACTGGATGGAGTGTCAGGCTCAAAGAGTAGCAATCAATGGCTCAATGTCTGGTTGGCAGCTGGTATCAAGTGGAGTGCCCCAGGGGTTCGTCCTGGGGCCGGTTTTGTTCAATGTCTTCATCAGTGACCTGGAAGATGGCAGAGAGTGCACCCTCAGCAAGTCTGCAGATGACACCAAGCTCAGGGGAGCAGCAGATACACTGGAGGGTAGGGCTAGGATTTAGTGTCCTAGACAAATTGGAGGATTGGGCCAAAAGGAAGCTCATGAGGTTCAATGACAAGTGCAAAGTCCTGCACTTCATGCACTCCTATAGACTGGAGGCTGACTGGCTGGGCAGCAGCTCTGCAGAAAATGACCCAGGGGTTACAGTGGGCAATAAGCTGAATATAAGCCAGCAGTGTGCCCTTGTTGCCAAGAAGGCTGACAGCATACTGGGTTGCCAGTAGGTTGAGGGAAATGATGATTCCCCTCTATTCAGCACTGGTGAGGCCACACCTGGAATACTCTGTTCAGTTTTGGACCCCCCACTACAGAAGGGATATGGACAAATTGGAGAGAGTCCAGTGGAGGATGACAAAAACAGTTCAGGGATTGGGGGACATGACTTATGAGGAAAGACTCAAGGAACTGGGCTTATTTAGTTTAGAGATGAGGAGACTGGAAGGGGACTTAATAACAGCCTTCAACTACCTGAAGGTCAGTTCAAAAGAGAATGGAGCTGGACTGTTCTCAGTGGTAGCAGATGACAGAACAAAAAGCAACCATCTCAAGTTGCAGCAGGGGAAGTTTAGGTTAGATATTAGGAAAAAAATTCACTAGGAAGGTAGTAAAACACTGGAACAGGTTACCCAGGGTGGTGGTGGAAGCTTCATCCTTAGAGGTTTTCAACAACCTGCTAAACTAAGCTTTGGCTGGGATGATCTAGTTGGGGATGGTCCTGCTTTGATCATGGGGTTTGACTAGATGACCTCCTGAGGTCCCTTCCAACCCTAACTTTCTATGATTCTACCTCACTGTGTAGCAGTCAGGTTGTGTGCCTACAGCCTGAGGCCCAGTCCCAAATTCCCAAGCTGGAGCCTGCCCTCCAGGCAAGTATGCTTACCATCTGTCTGCCTGCCTCCAAGGAGTGGGCAAACTACAGCTGAGACAGAATCCACCACCAGCAATTTCACGGGACCCACAGAACAAACAACCTGAGGAGTGAAGCACAATGTGTGAGGAAAAGGGATAGAGCAGCACATGCCATTCAAAATAGCAACTTGAAGTATGGGCCAGCACAGCCCTGCAACATTAGAACAGGGAGAGTCCTGACACCACTTAGAAACCACCAAGGTCCATAGAACAGCAACCCCAATCCTGCAGTCTTATAGTTTCATAGATGGTAGTTGGAAGGGACCTAAGCAGATCATCAAGTCTGACACCCTGCCATGGGCAGGAAAGGATGCTGGGGTCAAACGACACTGGCTAGATGATTGTCTAGCCTCCTTTTGAAGATCCCCAGGGAAGGGGTGAGCGCCACTTCCCTAGGGAGTTGGTTCCAGCTCCTTGCCACCCTGACTGTGAAGCAGTGCCTCCCGATGTCTAGCCTGAACCTACTCAGTCAGCTTATGGCCATTATTCCTTGTAACTCCCAGTAGTGCTCGGGGGAACAGGGACTCTCCCACTGACTGCTGGTCCCCCTTGGCAAGTTTGTAGGGGATCCCCTCTCAGCCTTCTTTTGTGTAGTCTGAACAGGTTCAGGTCCCATAGCCTCTCCTCATAGGGCCTGCCCTGCTGCCCCCTGATCATGTGGGTGGCCCTCCTCTGGACCCTCTCCATGTTGTCCACAACCCTCCTGAAGTGCGGCGCCCAGAACTGGACGCAGTACTCCAACTGCGGCCTGACCAATGTCGTATAGAGGGGGAGGATCACCTTGGACCTGCTCGTGATGCATCTGTGGATGTGTGACAAGGTGTGGTTAGCCTTCCTGACTGCATCCCCACATTGGTGGCCCACGTTCATCTTGGAATCAATACAGACTCCAAGGTCCTTTTCTGCCTCTATGCTGACAAGAAGGGAGTTCCCCAGCTTGTAGGTATGCTGCTGGTTTTTCCTCCCCAGGTGCAATACCTTGCACTTGTCCGTATTGAAACCCATCTTATTCTCATCCACCCACCTCTGTAAC